TATAGAGGAAAAACCCAACCGATTCCCCTTGAGCAAGCACTTGGCGACAGTGGGGAGAAAAAAACTCCCTTTAATGGATGAAACTGCCGACAGACCCCGGCTTTTGGTGGGTGGCCTTCTGATTGGATGTGGCTGGTGACTGCTCATCAGAAACATACAGCTCCAGAACCAGGGCTACCTGCAGAAAGGTATAGGGAGCGAGAGAGAGAGAGAGACACACACTATGGGAGAAAGGATACATACAGTTAGTGACATGTAATGATGGCATATAGATGCATGGAGAGAGTGGAGAGGAGCTCAGAGCATCATGGGAGCAGCAGTCTAGGCCTATAGCAGCACTGAGGGAAGGGAAGAGTACTGCCATAGTGATATATAGTGAGAAACAGTCTTTTGTACTGCATTGCAATATTCCTGTTATTAAATATTCCTTTTACAGTGTATTAAAAAGATTTCGTGTTTCCGGTATTCTTACAGAGTCTGACATAAGTAGCTTAATGTCTTGGTTACAAATCCTTAAGCTTTTCACACCGTCTTTTGCATTTGTGTTAGGATTTTTCAAGGATTAGAATTTCTGAAATCACTGATAAATAAGAATAATTGCTCATAAACCTGTATTTGAAGTAACTCTTTTTTTCTAGAGAGAAGTAATAGGGAATGCTTGAGGCGAGAGAAAACAGGAACACACTGTGCTGCATCCTCCCCTCCTGTGTCAAGTTGAGGTTGTTATGGCAACCAGATTCTCATCCTATACCTGTTGCCATGGACGAGGAAGACATAGTGATGACGTTGTTTATTAGGCAGCAGAATGCATCTGCCATTTTAAGTCCAGGATGTGACTCTGGTGGGAATATTTACTATAATGCAAAGCAGAAGAATTTCTCACTGACATCTGTTTTTTTTTTTTTTTTTACTATTACCATCCATGCATCAGTAGATACAGTAGATACTGTTTCTAAGTGTTATGTACGTGCACAAGTGTGGAAAGTGGACTCAGTAACTAATATTCAGTGGGGACACAGCAGTGGTGTCGTGCTATAAAATATAAACTATTAAATTCACCTTTTTCTGCCTAGCTTTTTATTTTTTAGATGCAAGAATTTGATTTAGATTAGACTCCACACACGTGTAAGCATTGCTATCCCCTTCCCAACAGTGGCTATAGCTTTAGATGGTAGTTTGTACATCTGTTCCTTCAGTACACAGTTATAGACTCTTACATCAGAAACCCACTCTTATGATGCACTGACAGGACTACAGTGGTGTGAAAAAGTGTTTGCCCCCTTACTGATTTCTTATCTTTTTGCATGTTTGTCACACTGTAATGTTTCAGATCGTCAAACAAATTTATATATTAGTCAAAGATAACACAAGTAAACACATCATGCAGGTTTTAAATGAAGGTTTTTATTATTAAGGGAAAACAAAATCCAAAACTATAGAGCCCTGTGTGAACAAGTGTTTGCCCCCTAAACCTAATAACTGGTTGGGCCACCCTTAGCAGCAACAACTGCAATCAAGCGTTTTCGATAACTTGCCATGAGTCTTCCACAGCGCTGTGGAGGAATTTTGGCCCACTCATCTTGGCAGAATGGTTGTAAGTCAGCCCAGAAGTGGACTTGCTGGTGTGCTTTGGATCATTGTCCTGCTGCAGAACCCAAGTTCGCTTCAGCTTGAGGTCACAAACGGATGGCCGGACATTCTCCTTCAGGATATTTTGGTACACAGCAGAATTCATGGTTCCATTTATCACAGCAAGTCTTCCAGGGCCTGAAGCAGCAAAACAGCCCCAGACCATCCCATTACCACCACCATATTTTACTGTTGGTATGATGTTCTTTTTCTGAAATGCGGTGTTACTTTTACGCCACACATAATGGGACACACACCTTCCAAAAAGTTCAACTTTTGTCTCGTCTGTCCACAGAGTATTATCCCAAAAGTCTTGGGGATCATCAAGATGTTTTCTGGCAAAACTGAGACGAGCCTTTATGTTCTTTTTGCTCAGCAGTGGTTTTTGTCTTGGAACTCTGCCATGCAAACCATTTTTGCCCAGTCTCTTTCTTATGGTGGAGTCATGAACACTCACCTTAACTGAGGCAAGTGAGGCCTGCAGTTCTTTGGATGTTGTTGTGGGGTCTTTTGTGACCTCTTGGATGAGTTGTCGCTGTGCTCTTGGGGTAATTTTGGTCGGCCGGCCACTCCTGGGAAGGTTCTCCACTGTTCCATGTTTTCGCCATTTGTGGATAATGGCTCTCACTGTGGTTCGCTGCCGTCCCAAAGCTTTAGAAATGGCTTTATAACCTTTTCCGGACTGATAGAGCTCCATTATTCTCTTTCTCATTTGTTTTTGAATTTCTTTGGATCTCGGCATGATGTCTAGCTTTTGAGGATCTTTTGGTCTACTTCACTTTGTCAGGCAGGTCCTATTTAAGTGATTTCTTGATTGCGAACAGGTGTGGCAAGAGAAATTGAACTCAGGTGCGATAAACCAGTGTTTTGACAGGGGGGCAAACACTTGTTCACACAGGGCTCTATAGTTTTGGATTTTGTTTTCCCTTAATAATAAAAACCTTCATTTAAAAACTGCATGATGTGTTTACTTGTGTTATCTTTGACTAATATATAAATTTGTTTGACGATCTGAAACATTACAGTGTGACAAACATGCAAAAAGATAAGAAATCAGTAAGGGGGCAAACACTTTTTCACACCACTGTATATGAGTGAAGCAGCTATCTGCTCTGACAGCAAGGGAGTGGGCAACTGAGTGAGATAATCATGCAAACTTGTGAGCATGATTCACCTTAAGGAGTTGAGCAGCCTCGCACAGGCGTCTACCGTGTACTTCTGCTGTGCCTTGATGTCGTTTTACATTACAACATCCAGCCCTGTCTCAGGCCATGACCGTGTGCAAACTGGGAAAAGTGTCGGAGTCAAACATTAGAAAGCTCACATCATGTTTTGTCTTATTGGAACATAGCTGTGATTCCCAATAGAGCTAGTTTGTCACAGTCAGTCCTCTAGCCGTCATGGGCATCCCACTCTCCAAATGCCCCACACTGTCTCATCATATTTCTCTTTATACTAAGTTACCTCAGTGACACTGAATCAGAGCTTAGGCTGCTCCTTCATTAATAGCCACAGTAGAATGGTCCAGGAAAGGGGAATAGGGGCACTGGTAACCTAATTCCCCCTTCATTTCTTCATGCACTCTCTCCAGTTTCTCTTTGGAGGCAGATCAAAGGTGAAATTGGGCTTTATTTAGTCACCTGTCCTCTTCCAGTGCCCAGTATGGAAGCCGTTTTACCACCTGTGCACCTTAACCAGTTTGAAGATACAAACAAATGCATTATTTTTACCTGTGCTGGGCTGTAGCTGCCTGAGTTTTTAGTAGTACACTGGCAGTTGCTATAACCCCCCCCCACACACACACACACACACACACACACACACTTCTGCATTATTGGTAAGTGTGCTGAAATCCTCTGAACACATAAGGCACTCTGCCTGGAGTGCACTGCTGTAAAAACCTCTCAAGCATCCTCATGTCAAAGAGGCAGACCTGGCTTTAATTTACCCATTAGCTAAGGACAGAATTTGCATAAAACATAGCTAATTACTGCTTTGTATCTCACATTGGGGAATTGCTTTCATTACAGATGCTCTAACTACACAGAATCTATTGTTCTTACTAAGATGAGGCTGCAGTTTTCTGTTGTCCAGACTTTAGTTTCTGTTGCTGTTATGTTTGGATGGTTGCTAGGCCCTTGAGCACCAGTTACTTTCATCTCTCAAACCCTCTTTTTCACTCGCCTCTTTCTAGAGTACTAAAGGTTGGAGGTATGCGTTTGTTCGGCTAGCCTGACTGGAGAGGTCCTTGTGACTTGGCTGAGGGACACGAAGCAGTTTTAGTCAGTAAAAGTTTGTTTGTGAGGGGCATTTGAGAAACATCTAGCCTATAGATATCTATAAATGTCCTACAGTAAATTATTAGTTTCTTCCTCTCTGTGTGTCACATATCCACTGCACAGTATGGAAAGCTTGAACACTAGCCCCAGAGCTAACAGCAAGCATAGTTGACAGGGATGAGATGCCAGGCAAGGCTGCAGATTCTTTTTCATTAAGAAATGTCTGTGTGACCATGGGGAGTAGCTGGGTAGCTCAGAAATACTCTGTCATTATTCCTTTTGCAGATAGAACAGGTGAAGGTGATGCAATAGGAGCAGGCTACATACTGAGACATTCTGCTGTGTTGTTTGTCTTTTTGCTCTGTTAGTGCATATGATGAAGTAAAACAGATTAAAAATGGTGTTTTAGTAAAACATGACACCAGTTTCAGTTCACAAAAAAGCCAATATCTTATAATCCCTCACTGATTCAGGTGCCTTTCAGTTCCAAATATATCATTATTAGTGCACTGACTGAGAAACAGGATCTTGGGAGACCCGTTATTTGCAAACCAAGATATGAATCATTAGTGCATTCATTTGGTGCATTAAGTCCATTTGGAGTGTTATTTGTGAAACTAACATGCAGTATTTTTTTATTTTTTATATAAGATCTTGGAGAAATAAATGATAGACAAAGGGGTTTGCCATTTTTTACTGATGAAGTGAACTGGCAAGCAAGAGGAAGTGAATGCCCCAAAAATACCTACCCAAAACTGCCAGCTTCAGTAGGCGCAAAGGCAGTAGTCATGGAAAAAAAGGCCAGGATCAAAACTTGTTTTAGTGACTAACTAGTTAAAGATACTCTGCCCTAATTCAAACTGACTGTGCAGAAGCAAGTTATACTAGATGCCTAAATGTGATAGAAGGGACATACCGGTAATTAAAAATTGAATCCAGTAATTCAGTACATGACATATCATATAGTAATTAATTTCAGGAATCATTTTAAATTGAACTACACAAGCATGGGACTCATGTGTCATAGTCACATTTAAAGCGGCTGTTTTCAGCCACATTAACCACATGACTAATTTTGTTCCTCTCTCACAGCTATTATTAACCCCAAAGCACCAAAGGAGCCAGCAAAGACCTTCAGTTTTGACTATTCCTATTGGTCACACACTACGGTGAGTTGGAACATTTTTATCTTTTCAGTAGTCCAGTGTAATTATTAGTAAGAAGGGAAATTTAAAAAAAGCTAAATATAATTACACCTACAGTATATGTATTATCATTTTGAAACACCATGACGTTATTGAAGTTCTCTGCATTTTGTGTCATTTCTCTGTCTATCCCACAGCCGGACGACCCCTGCTTTGCTTCACAGAACCTTGTGTACAATGACATCGGCAAAGAAATGCTGGCACATGCTTTTGAGGGCTACAATGTCTGCATCTTTGCCTATGGCCAGACAGGAGCTGGCAAATCCTACACCATGATGGGCAAGCAGGAGGAGGGGCAGGAAGGAATCATTCCCATGGTTTGTTCTACAGTACATCTTTGTGAATTTAGTGAATTGCATATTAGAGTTTTAGAGAGACTTTTTAAGCACCGTTTATTATAGTTTGAGTACCGTCTAATGAAAACCCTTGTCTTGTTGTCACTTAGGTCATTGAATGTTTAACACAACCCCTGAGCCATGATCTTGGTCCATTTCTGGGATATACATAGACAGTCTCTGCCGGTCCTTTAGTATTTCCTCTTGTCATATTTCTTAACCAAACTGATCCACTTCTGAAATATTGAGACTGCAACACCACTGAAGAGAATTTTGATTAGTAATGAGATGGCTCTTTGTCTCAGCAAATGTTTGACTGCTCAGTAGCCTTATCCTCATTTATCTCAATTTATTTCTTTTGAAGTCTTCAGTGCTTACTGTTTTATCTACTGCTTGGTACACACCTTAGACAACCAGAGCTCTATTTCCCCACAATAGGACAAAAAGCCAGTGATCTGCTGTTTTTTTTTATAACTTACCCCTAACTTAGATGCTACTGGTCTTTTAAACATTGCATTATTCAGTAGGTTGCGTGTACGGTGGCAGTTCTAAAGGTGCTGCTCAAAGAGTTTTTCTAATGTTATTGTCTTTGCTTTAACCTCTGTTTATGGCCCCAAACATTCTATGCACATGTACTAAAAACCCGACCCCACTTCTTCTGCCTTTACCATTTACCTTCTGGAAGTCACATTTCCTCAAAAATCTAACTCAAGCTATAAAGGTTCACAATGGTTAAAGTTTGAATTCATCCTAATGTATTGCCCCTTTCTGTCTCGCAGTTCAACAGTATATCCCTGATGATTGATAGTGTTTATCGTCAAAAGTCTGTATCCTGTTTTTGTTTATGTGGTCCACAGATCTCCTCCCTGTTCATCCTCCCTTCCTCCTCTCTACATGCCGTTAAATTTTACTAAACATGCTTTTCTGCCTCGCAGCTCTGTGAAGATCTGTTTGAGAAAATCAATGAGGACAGCAACAAAGAGGACCTCTCTTACTCGGTAGAGGTGAGTCTCAAAATGCTTTGTCATCTGTAAATGCTGAGAGTTAACTCCTGCCTCTGACCTTTGTGTTGACTACTTTCTAAAGAACCATTCCAAGCCTTCTCCTAAGAGTGTATCTGGTAACAATCACATGCTGCCTGAAGCTTTAAAGATTCTGGATTTCTTCAGCACATTCCTTTTGATTATTTCATAGAACACACCTGTTCTCAAACTGGAAAACAAAGTCTTAGAACACAACGTGATTTTGTTATGGATATACTTTTAACCATGATGATGCCAAATGTCCTACTATACAGTAATATACCTTCATTGTGCAGACTTGGATTATTTTATTTTATATTATTCAGGCTCATCGTACTGCTTTACACTGTTGCCCTGGGACATCTGAACTGACATTCTGTGACTTGTGCATTTGTTACTAGGTAAGTTACATGGAGATCTACTGTGAGCGGGTGCGAGATTTGCTCAATCCCAAGAACAAAGGGAACTTACGAGTGCGAGAACACCCGCTACTAGGCCCCTACGTGGAGGACCTGTCCAAACTAGCTGTCACCTCCTACACAGACATCGCTGACCTAATGGATGCAGGCAACAAGGCCAGGTGAGCCAGGGCCTCGGGTTTTGCTGAGATCATGGGGAGAAAATAATAGTAGTGGTGATACGATGTGATAACTCATATCCTCAGAAGATGGAAAATGCTCACAAGATAAGAATCATGTAGAATTAGGAAGTATTCTTTTCACATATATTTAATTGCCTTGGTTATCAAGCATCAGCTAGTTGCATTCAAACACCAGAAACCTTTCTCTTCTCTTCCTAATATTGAATAAAATACCATGTCAAGCTTGACCTTGATGACTGAAATTCTTCACAGAAAGAACCACTTTTAATTTGAAGGCAGCGAATATTTCGGATTGAAATATGCTTGAGTGCATGTCATGTATATGTATGTGTGAGTGTGATTGTGTGTATATGTATGTCATGAGAACTTTTGTGGGATAGGAGTGAACCCTTCCTTAATCTGAACCTTAATCTGCGCTGACTCAGAAGTCTTATTTCTAGACCATGGTGTGTAAAGCTGCATCTCCCCTGTGACTAGCTTTCTGAGTGCATCTTGTGTATTTGTGTTTGGTGTCCTCATAGTATTATCCACCTCTGCCACACCAAGAAATCCCTACACTCTAACAGGTGTAAAACCCAGTGATGTTAATGCCACTAATAGCCACGACCATGAATTCAGCATTAAAAATACTGAATAAATTAAAAGGGCAAAGCAAATAACTGCTTGGAAAAATGTGTTGCACCCACATGGTTTTGTATTTCCTAAGTATCCCCTCTGTGCTAACCCACAGAACTGTGGCTGCCACCAACATGAATGAGACTAGCAGCAGGTCCCATGCTGTTTTCACCATTGTCTTCACACAGAGGAAGCACGACAATGAGACAGACCTCTCCACAGAAAAGGTCAGAGGAGACTAGACAGACAACTTCTGACTCTTAAACTGTGACCCATTCACACTTAACCATGTTTATAACCTAAGACTCTGGTCCTATGTTTGTACTCTTCTTTTTTTTTTTTCTATTTTGTTTGAATCTGGCTAAGATTTCTCATATGGTACTCAAAAGTCAGTGGTGATCAGAGAAAGACAAAGAAAGAGACCCTTTTTAGATTTGACTTTTACCATTTCCTCTAGCTGCAGAGAGACAAAGGCCACTGTGTTATTATAAACACAATGCTCATTGTATTTTGCCACTCTATCAGATTTTATTGCCTAGCTGCATCTCACTTGGTGCTCAAATGTTTAGAATGATTCACACTTCCTTACAGGTAGTTTTGACCATTTGGTTTTTGAACCTTTGTGTTTGGTATTCAGTGTAGACATTGTTTCAGTAATGTTCTCATCTCCTGCCAGTTTGTTCTTATTCAAATAAAAATTATTTAAAGACTTGATGCATCTAAAATGTGTTTATTCCCTCTCTTCAGGTCAGTAAAATTAGTCTGGTAGACTTGGCAGGGAGTGAACGAGCAGATTCCACTGGAGCTAAAGGTACCAGACTAAAGGTGAGGCTTTTATCATCACAGACACCCACCATCTGCATTAGCATATTGTTCAATGGTATTACCTTGATGACTGTTGAATGATATTTTTGTCTGTGGTTGCAGGAGGGGGCAAACATCAACAAATCTCTCACTACATTAGGAAAGGTTATCTCTGCCTTGGCTGAAGTGGTGAGTGTTTTATGATTTTTTTTTTTCCTTTCTCTTTCTTATTCTCTACCCCTCCTCCACCTTTTCAGCCTCTCTTTTACCGCCTACAACTTGACCCTGTCTTCTGAAGGAATTAATGTCTGCCTGGCATGCTGTAATGTCTGTCCCTTTGTTTTCTCTTCTCTTGTCCCTGTAATGCTTGCTTACACAGGATAACTGTACCAGCAAGGTAAACCCTCTGATAGCTCAACCACTAACCTCTGATTCCTCCCGTGAGGCAGATTTGACCGCCTTTTACCTTTTGCAATGTTGAGGTTGCTACAGAGTGTTTTGCTTTTAGGCACAATGCAGAAGAAAACATTGCACATGGTCAGAAGTGCATCAAACCAGGCCTCTAGTCATTTTACCTGTTCATTTTGCCCATTACAAATGAAGTGTTTGTCATGGTACTGTACGTACTATTTAGTCTGCCATCCCTGAGTTTAAAAATGGAAAGCCTTACATCAGTTGTCATGTTTTTCTTCCAGTGGAATTAATGTTTTTTTTTTTTTTGCAGAGCAAGAAAAAGAAGAAGACAGACTTCATCCCATACAGAGACTCTGTTCTAACCTGGCTGCTGAGGGAGAACCTTGGTATGAACATTAATATCACGGGATAAGCATCCTTTACTTACACATGACAGTGAAATTTATGTATGTAAACCATGTAGTGATTATTTTTTTATTTTTTTATTCCTGGACAGCAAGAAAATGTTGACATTTTGTATCTTGTAACAAAAAGTGCGGGTGAGAAGATGACTGGAGCTAGTCTGCATTACTGTCTGCCAATTGAACAAGAGCACTGTCAGCAAACTCAGCCTAACTAGACAAGCACGCTCCCATTCATGTATCATGTGTGAAGGACAGGTGTACAGTGTATGCTATTCCATAGCAGTTAAGTCTAATGCTGAGCACTTTATTCTACAAGTCAATGGAAATCCTGTTGTCCAGATTTAACACTAATGGTAATTGGTCTTATGCTTGTGTAGTGCTTTTCTATGCATTGCGGCACACTCAGTGCACTTCCACACTATTTGCCCATTCACGCTCACACATTCGTACAGCAGTGATATTACCAGGAACAAGTGGGAGTTCAGTGTTTTGCTCAAGGACACTACTACATGTGGACTGGAGAAGCTGGGAGTCGAAACACCAGCCTTCCTGTTAGATGACCCGCTCTCCGCTCTAATCTTGTTTACATACAGTATGTCAGAAATGTTTTTAACACACAGTCACAATTCACCTCCCTGTTGATGTTGTGTTGTTAGGTGGCAACTCCAGAACAGCTATGGTAGCTGCTCTCAGTCCAGCAGATATCAACTATGATGAAACCCTCAGCACGCTGCGGTAAGGTTTCTGTCAGGACTTTGATAATAGCTTACAAAATAATTTCATCTAATTGTTTGAATCACACTTTATTTAGATTTGAATGCCCTTCCAAACAAAGTTTATTATGAATTTTAGCTATGCGGACCGGGCCAAGAACATCAAATGCAATGCTGTCATCAACGAAGATCCCAACAATAAGTTGGTGCGTGAGCTGAAGGATGAAGTTTCTCGACTAAAGGAACTGCTCCGTGCCCAGGGCCTTGGAGACATCCTGGACAGTGAGTTCTGTACTATCACAGCAAGCCATATTTGCAGCCACACAGCATCTACCTTCTTTCTCAGGGCCAACCAAAAGTTGGCATCATCCTCTCTCTTAATCACTGTCTCATTGCTTTCAGCAGTCCTGTTTGATTTCCGTTGCAGCACTTGTACTTGTGTCTAGCACAAAACTAAAAACACTAAAGTAGCTTTTCAAATTGCTTATTTACCACCAGACTAGTTTGTTATGCGCTCTTACAATGCAAAATGTAAAATTTATTTTGTATGAATAATAATTACTAGAGAACATTTATAGAATATTTAAGGATAGACAAGTGTATTTATAAAGCATTAAATGAAAATGTATGTAGTCATTTGTGGCTGATTTTGACTGATAACACAAATGGCAGTTTGGAGCTACATTAAAATGTCGCACTTAAATTGCTCCATGCAAGAGTAATGGCACATAGTCTAGTCAATTAGAGACATAATTTACCCATTAATAACTCTAATATCTGAAGTAATTAACTTGTCTGCTTGCTGACACCTGCTTAGATCATACCTAATGACATGGCATTTAACAAGTCTTTCCATGCTATTTTGTTTCATCCTCATTTTCATTCTCATCCAACTCTATAAAAATGTCTGTAACTGTTTTCTCTCATTCTACTGGTGCTGACCTCTTACCTTTCTCATATTTCCTGCTTTCCTCTCAGTTGATCCTATGGGGGATGATTATCCAGGAAGTGGAATCAAATGTGTGTATATGTGTGGTAGCCATGCATTGTCTTTCACTATTTGCCCTATTAATAAGAGCTAACATTGCTTTTGCCTCCCTCTCCCCTATAACCTGTATATTAAATATGCTGCCAGCTTTGCATGTAAATGCTAAAACACAAAAGCCTAATAGAAGGGATCAGAAACGCCAGGATTCTGCGGTATGCTGATCTGGCGAGGAGTAGTATGCTACCTGGTTAGCATGCTTTGTACTTATTTCTGTTATTTTTCAGAATTGTCGGGTTGAGGCAGCTTTTTTTTTTTAGCTGTTTGACAAGACACTTGTGGAATGTCCCTTTTAGAAAGAGTTGTAGATTAATTATTCTGTTTGCCCCACTGTCGGTGCACCCTGGTCATTTTCTCACTATGTTGGCCTTTGTCTCACTTTCTCATGCTGCTTTTCTTCCCAGTGATCTTTCTGCTTTTTATTTTTTCTTTTACCTATCATCTGCTGCAGGTGACAGTGCTCAAAGCTTTAAAATACCACTTCTAAATTGTCAAACTGAGGCTCAGAGCTACAGACGGAAAGGTGCTCAATTTTGAATTTCTAAGACTATAAATACATCAGGTTGACTAACTTGATGCATTATAATAATTTGGATTAGATAGTCTGCCCTCTGCTTTCCCTGGCACACCTTCTCTTTTCTTTTGTGCTCATGTTCTCTGAAAATACTCCTACCTTGTAAAGTGTTTCTGAACACAAGTAGATCTGGGCCTACTCTACCTAATGAGCAGTGTAAAACCATACGTTTTGCCCCTGGTATCCTACTATTTACTATTAAAGTTGAATAGTTCAAGGGTCATGCATTCCCTGTTCTTCTGGAATATAACAAGACTGTATGGCCATCAGTTGTATACATATTGACCTCCAAAATGTCAGCACTTCCCACATTGTTTAAACTTTTATTGGCCATTGGTTTCTTTAATCAGGTTCTTTATAGGGCACAGCCTGTGTTACCTTGTCTTTGAGGCCATTATAATGACATGAGCTGCCTGACCTTTAGTGAGGCTGCTGTGGCTATGCTGTGGTGGGTGTGTGAGTGCTTATATATGTGTGGTGAATCAAACTACTTGACTGCGGGCTGAACTTTGGCAGCATGTGTCAGTGACTTTCATGTGTCCTCCCTCTGGACCTTATTGCAATCTTCATCTTTCTCCGATCCTGTAGTTGATACACTGAGAGCAGTTTTCACACGGTGTGTTCTCATTTATGTTAGCGACTGAGAAAGAAACAACATAGTGACATCTCACTATTTCTTAGAATTGCAGACACTGGATATTAAGTGCTCAGAGTTAATTGCTCTGCACTGTAATTCTGACCCACTTAAAAACAACCCTCTGGAAACCCTCTAATAGAATACAGGCTGAAACCCAATGCATGCAAGTAGACTAGTCAGGGTTAGCAGACTGTTGAAAACTACCTGACGTGGAAACTGCTCATCTCTGTAGCTGACCATTATGCTGGATGTTTGTCTTAACCCTTTGATGTACAACATGTGTCTTACATGGTCAAAAAAAACTTTCCCTGTCTCCTTCTCTCCTCTCTTTCTTCTTATCTGGAATTTGGTTCCTCCATTTTATGTGGCTTATCCCCCCCTGTCTTATCCTGGGCCTATCCAACCTCTTTCCATGTTTTTTTCCTTTCTCTCTATCTCTTGCTGTTGGCTTAGACCTCAAAGACATTCAGAACAATAAGAATAGATACTTGATAGCCTCAGAGAACCAACGCCCTGGCCATTTCTCCACAGCCCCTATTGGTTCCCTGACAGCCTCTCCATCCTCTGGCTCACTGTGCAGCCAGGGGGGCCTGCAGTCAGTCACCAGCATCCAGGAGCGCATCATGTCCACACCTGGAGGAGAGGAGGCCATTGAAAGACTCAAGGTAAATTAGGGCTATGTAGAATACAGCAGTCTTCACATCACTCATGTGACCCTAATATTCTCTCACGTTGACCCCTTTTGACACAAAATGTCAATGTAATTAGGGCATTTCATTATACATATAGTCTATAGTAAATCTAAAAAAAGGGTGTTAAATCAATTAAGGACCAGCAGTGTACTGGTGATGCTCCTGCCCTGAACCACCAGCACCAGGTGAGGCCAACACCTGGGGA